TCTGTCTAGATCTTGCAAGTGAGTGGATGACTCATTTGCATATCGGAGTCTCCATAAGAGGGTTTAAAAGGCTCATGAGAGCACAACCCCAGGAGAAAAGAACGTTGTGCGGTTAGGACTTTAATTGAATTTATCATTGCTTCTGTTCAACTCGTCTACTGAACATATCTTTCTACCTCTTAGTTCTTGGAACGTTCTTGGACCTATAAAGTTTTTATAACCGCTTTGTCGCAATTCTAATCATCTATGTTGTAAGAGGTATAAGCTGCGAATAAAACTAAACGTATGAATAAAGAAATAAAGCTAAAAGCAGCTGGTGTAGCTATCTCCTTTCTTCATGTGTTCACATTCTGACCAGAGGGGTAAACAATGGGAATCAACAATCTGCAACAGGATTTTACTTAAAAAATAAACTAAAAAATTAATTGGTAAAATAGACAAAAGTGAAAATATGAGTTATGTGCGAAGAATCATGGATACACATTCATTTTCATTTTCATCAGTCTATGTTATAATTAAGCACGATGCACACAGTATGAGGGAAATATGGGAAACTGACAGAAACCTATGACATAGTACTTGTTCCTCCTTGATGATAACATTATTGAACCAGTTAAAATAGGCCTGAAGTAACAACTGAAGTAAGAGTATTAGGAAATTTGCAATGCACGCTCATATTTCAAAAACTCCGCTCCATTCTTGTCCCGCCGTCTTCATTGCTTTTCTGGCAATAAAAAAACAGTTAACTCCAACTTTCCTCTGACATTAAACTGGAATCGTTAGATTCTCATTTCTATCTAAACAGATTTACAGGGAATCAGTGATATTTTTAAGGAAGATCTGAAAGATGTCATTAAATTTTGATGAAGAAAAAGTCATTCTTTCTGAATTTTAATAAGTTATAAGAAAAACAATGTAAACATCTGCTAAAGAAAATGAAAGGTTAGTTTATCTGGCTGGGAGTACCAAGTAAAACAATTTATCACAGTGTCTAGATCTTATTGAGTGAGTGGGTGACTCATTTGCATATCGGAGTCTCCACAAGAGGGTTTAAAAGGCTCAGAAGAGCACAACCCGAGGAGAAAAAAAGCTACGTTGTGAGGACTTTAATTGAATTGATCACTTCTTGTGTTCAACTTGTCTATTGAATATATCTTTCTAGCTCTTAGTTCTTGGAACATTCTTGGAGCCGTAAAGCTTTTATAACCGCTTTGTTACAATTCAAATCATTTATGTGGTTAGAGGTATGAACTGCGAATAAAACTAAACGTATGAATAAAAGAAAGCTAAAAACAACTGGTGTAGGTATCTCTTTTATTTATGTGTTCAAATTCTGGAAAGAGTGGTGAACAATGAGCATCAACAATCTGAAAAAAGATGTAACTTAAAAAAATTTAAATATCTGTGAAAGGTAATTAAATTTTCGTTTATCTGGCTGCGAATATCAGATAAAAAAATTTATTCTATGCTTAAGTTAGATTATTTTAAGGAGAAAAAAAAAAGAACGAACTCTAAAAGAGTCTCGGTGAAAGAAAAAAGCGAAAACACCGCGACCTAATAAAATTTGTAAAAGTATAATAACAGGGATAGGCTCAAAGTCACCATAGAAGCATATCGAATAGCTTATATTGTTTTCAATCTGCCGATTTCCTTGCACCTGCCTACTGATGCAATAGAAATGAAACAAACAATTATTCTTCTATATCGTAAACTCCCTGGCGGTGAAAGATACCCATGCATCTCTGTATAATATTTCTCCTTTGTGCCGTTGTGTACGGCATTGGCCGCATTTCGGAGCCAGATCTGAGAGCTGTTAACTTTGCCGTGAAGATAGAAGGACAAAAGCTGAATGGAAGCCTGATAAAAGAAATAAAAGTGGATTCGGAAAGCTCCTGTCAGATTGAGTGTGTGAATGAGGAGCGATGTCAGTCTTACAACTTTGGAACCATAAAGGGCGACACTGAGAAATTCAAGTGTCAGCTAAGCGCCTCAGACCGATTTGCTGCATTTGCTAACTTCACTGAGGATAAAGATTTCATATACAGAGGAATAGAGGTAACCTAGACCTGTCTTAGTGTATAAGCAATGTTTGACTCAATGTTTGAATATTATCATCTGAAATCGTCGCTGGATTTCTTTACAATGTTCCTAATTCTGATGCAACAACCTTCCTCTATTTAACGTATGTCGCTAAAGGATTTAAGAATCCAAAGATCTTGGGACAATCTAAAGAGAAATTTTCTGAAGTTTGCGTTGGGGAAAGAAACCTAGAAGAGCCTTAATAAAAAACAAAAACAAAACAAAAAAACAAAAGTAAAAAACTGAATTGTTTTCATTTTTACAACGAAGAGCTAGTAATCCGATACCTACAATGCGGAAAAAAAACCTTGCTCTATTTTCCACAAAAATTCTATATGAACATTTTGGTGTTATCCTATTCGTAGTAAATCATCGATACATGAAAGTTTTGCCTCGTCGCAAGTTCGCGCCCTCAAAGTAAAACAAGTTCTCCCCCTGAGATAAAGGAAGGGGTCCAGTTCTAAAAACTTGCTATCGTCGTTAGAGCCAAAAATTTGTCAAATAGAGGAAGAACGCAGTACTTTAGCGGCTTTACATTTAACCGCACCTGGTTAGCTCAATTGGTTAGAGCGCCGGATTGTATTGTGCGGGACAAATAACAAAAACTCCCTGACGGTGAAGGATACCCATGCATCTCTAGACAACCAAATTTTGTGTTGTGCGGTCGTGGGTTCGAGCCCCAGCCGGACCAATACTCATGGTCTTAAAATAACTGAGGAGAATTTGCTACCTTTCTATAATATCAAGAAATGAATAGATATTCTAACCTTCTCGGATAAGGACGAATAAAACNTTGTTGCATCAGAGTTAGGAAACATTGTAAAGAGATCCAGCGACGATTTCAGATGATAATAGTCAAACATTGAGTCAGACATACGTATGATGCACGATCCTCGCAGTAGATAGCGCTATTTAAGCATTAGCGAAAATCAAACCTGAAAAAAATCAGGCCTGTACGGGACTCGAACCACTGACCTCTGCGATACCAGTGGTTCGAGTCCCGTACAGGCCTGATTTTTTTCAGGTTTGATTTTCGCTAATGCTTAAATAGCGCTATCTACTGCGAGGATCGTGCATCATACGTATGTCTGACTCAATGTTTGACTATTATCATCTGAAATCGTCGCTGGATCTCTTTACAATGTTTCCCAATTCTGATGCAACAACCTTCCTCTACTTAACGTATGTCGCTAAAGGATTTAAGAATCCAAAGATCTTGGGACAATCTATAGAGAAATTTTCTGAAGTTTGCGTTGGTGAAAGAAACCTAGAAGAGCCTTAATAAAAAACAAAAACAAAACGAAAAAACAAAAAAAAAAGTAAAAAACTGAACTGTTTTCATTTTTACAACGAAGAGCTAGTAATCCGATAGCTACAACGCGGAAAAAAAACCTTGCTCTATTTTGCACAAAATTTCTATATGAACATTTTGGTGTTATCCTATCCGTAGTAAATCATCGATATATGAAAGTTTTGCCTTGTCGCAAGTTCGCGCCCTCAACGTAAAACAAGCTCTCCCCATGAGATAAAGGAAGGGGTCTAGTTCTAAAAACTTGCTACCGTCGTTAGAGCCAAACATTTGTCAAATAGAGGAAAAACGCAATACTTTAGTGGCGTTACATTTAACCGCACCTGGTAAGCTCAATTGGTTAGAGCGCCGGATTGTATTGTGCGGGACAAATGACAAAAACTCCCTGACGGTGAAGGATACCCATGCATCTCTAGACAACCAAATTTTGTGTTGTGCGGTCGTGGGTTCGAGCCCCAGCCGGACCAATACTCATGGTCTTAAAATAACTGAGGAGAATTTGCTACCTTTCTATAATATAAAGAAATGAATAGATATTCTAATCTTCTCGGATAAGGACGAATAAAACCGTAGGTCCTGTCGCCTGCAGGGTTAGGGGTAGGAGATGTTAATTTCCCACGCACGAAATTACTGTCTGGTGGATGTGCTCCCCGGGGTGGGATGGTGGAATGGTTGGTGCAAAGGGGTTAGGTGTCAATTGGGACGAAAGTTCTAGTTCTATTCCTTTCTCCTGCCATTCCCGTGGCGAACAAATTAATTTCCTAATTTGTGTAGTGGTCGTGCGTCAATAAACCGCACAGTCATAAATTTCCATGTTGCTTGATCTTGACGAAGAGAAAATAAGACCTTTGGTTTTGAGCGAGAATTTAACCTCGTGCATATGGCAACAACAATGTCCTCGAATTTAAAATAGATGACAGTTCATATTTTTATATCCTATGATTTCTATCTTGTGAATTGGTATTCAGGGTAGTGTTGGAGCCATCCCTTTCACCTGACCAAATTTTGTTTGCATTAATTCAATTTTCTGAACCTGTTTTCATCACACAATTTGCTTTTAGGGTAAAAACGCTGCTAAGTGTTCAGTGAGTACCGCTGGTACTGTTCGTAACAATACTTTCCGAAAGGCCTGGGAATGGTGTAATGGTGAGGTTTGGCTATCAGTGGTGATTGATTTGTTCGCTACTGAACCAGGACGTCACTGTCTCGATATTTTAAAATCAGGTGAGTTTGAGATTAAGCGAATCAATCATTTGAAAAAAAATATATGCGAAATAATAACATGGTCTTGAAAAGAAAAAGATAAGCGTAAACTTTCCTCTTTGATACTAAATAATGCAATTTTGGTCCTATTTTAAAAATAACTTCAGATTACTCTTCATAATTTCAGGTCAAAGTCGCGGTAGTGGACTTTATTGGATCGATCCAAACGGTGGCTCAACAAATGACTCTTTCCAAGCTTTTTGTGACATGGAGACCAATGGTGGAGGCTGGACACTAATTTCCACGAAAGTGTCTCCAAGCTTCCTCCTTATCAAAACAGCCTTCCTAGCATCAGCTGCAAAAACTACAGATGCAGATGCATCGAGTCACATCCACCCTGACATGGGGGACTGGGAAGAGGTCATGTTCCGGTTCAGTGACGTCAATACCATCCGGGTTATTTACAACAGGAAGGCAGGCGCTCCAAATAAGGACAAAACAGACTTCGAGANGGAGGACTGAGCTGGATGTGACTGACTTGACACAACTGACAGGCGGATCTTAATTCTATGACCCACGGTGTTTTGTTTCCTTTCTTTTGAGAAAAGTGCATTTGTTTCTTAGACAGAAATTGTTTTGATTAGTTGGGAATTGAATACTTTAGTAGCCACTTTTGAATAAGTTGTTTGACCCAAGTTCAAAAGATATCAAAACAACAGTAACGTCACAAATGTTGCTCGGTGTTCAGTATGCATTATTCAAAAGGATCGCCCAAAGAGGATAAACCTAATTTTGATTTAAGTATAATGAAAAGGAATTTCTAATGACATTAAATTGAGGAGATGGTAAAGTCAACGATTGCGAGTTGAGTCAAAGACCGCATAAAAAGTGAAACAACTAAACATGTGCTAATGGGCCTTTGTGGTGTTCCCACTCGCAGGTCTCGCACAAGGTTCAAATCGCTTTTTGGAGCCTGATCTTAGGGCTGCTAACTTCGCAAAGGCGATAGAAGATAGAAAACTCAACGAGAGAATCTAAAGAGACTTCGAAGTGCTATCTGAGATCTCTTGTTAGTTTGAATGTACCTCTGAAGACCGATGTTTGTCATACAACTTCCTTCCCATCAATGACATGGAAACGAGCAGATGTCAACTAAGTGACTCTGACCGATTTGTTAGTCGAGAGAATTTTACAAAAGAAGATGGAGCATTGTATGGAGGAATACAGGTGGTAATATTGCTTCCTGTTAATGTTACAGGGCTATAAGGCTTAGAATTTGTAAAGACATTTTATTTGTTACAAATTGAATGTCGGCCGGTTCGTAATGTGTCATAGGCATAATTTAGTAACAAGTTTCATCCTTTTTTTCCTAGAAGTGGCCTTTTACATTTTCGCTGCTTTTTTGAAATTTCAATAAGCACAGAATTCTTTACAAATCAAAATTAATGGAATTATTTCTTGAAAAAATGGGTAGAAAACTTTTTTGATA